CCTGGGGGCGTCTGTGCAAGCCCTGTCCTGGCTCCCCTTCTAACCCGCTATTTTTTAATTATTATTAAAATTACTTATAAAAACCTTCCGCTCGTTTTTCGGCTTTTTTTTCTCTGTACATCTGTGTTTATGTGTGTGTGTATGCACACGCGCTTCGTCGGTACGGTGTGAAGCAGCCGCGCTCCCGCCCTGGAGCATCTTGGCATCCCGGCCCCGTCACGGCCACGTCTGCGCTGCGGGCGCTGCGTGCTGGGAGGTCAAAGTGTGTGTGGTGGAAGCCTGTGCACGTTTGTGGAAATACTCGTGCTATTTCGTTAAAGCCTCCTTTTAGCAGGCGCCAAAAGGCTGCTGTTTATTTGCTTTTTCCCACCCTTTCAGGAGCGCAGAAGTGCCGTAACCCTTTACACACCCTTCCCCGTAAGAATCCTTTCCTCAGTCTTTCCCGCTTCCAGCTGCAGCAACTCTCCTGATTTTCCCAGAAGAGTGAGATGCATTTTTGCTTCCCTTGGAAATGCATAAATGAGCTCTCTATGTACAAATCGCAGCTGAGTTCCCCACAGCTAGCGCATTACAGAAGGACCTTATCTTGCAATCTACATTTCCCGCTGTAACAAAGCGTGACCTTGTTTTCATTACATAAAAAAATGTTTTTCGTATAATTGCTGTGACTTGTTCTCTCACATGAATCTCAGCTCATGTTCATAATCACTGCTTCAATTTTCAGATAACTATTTTTTGTGAGCTGGTGGAAGAACACCAACAGAGTGCTCTTTAGGAGAGTTGCCGCATATAAGTAGTGCTGCCGAGGGCACAACAAGGGGACTGTTGTGCTCTTCCATTGCAGAGCCAAGAAAACCCAGTGTGGCATTTTTAGATATTGAATTTAAAGGAACTTAGTAACGTCTGGATGCGTCTTTGTTGATATTTAGGTGGGAATTATTTATTTTACATACTTCTCTTTATTGTGTTGGTTTCCAAGGGATGCAAGGCACCAAGAAGTTTCCAGAAAGTAACTTCATAAGAAAATTTTCTAAAGTAATGTACGCTTAAGTTGGAAGAACATTTTGTCACAATTATGTGCCCTTTGAAAACGGGGTGGGCATTTTTCTGCCTCAGTCGAGTATCAAGTGAGTTGAGTTTTTTAAGAGTTTCCTAGTTTTTAAACCTTTGGCCACCCTTTTCGGTCTAGAGTCAAGAGCTCACACGATCTGCTTCTGTGTCGCGTATCTTGAAGTAGCTTTCGTGTTTATTTTCCGTGTCCCCGCTCACTATTTGATTAAGTTTTATAGTCGTCTAAGACTGAATTTGGCCTCACAACATGGGGAAAACTGGTTTATGTTTGCAAAGCTCGAGATTTTCACAGCTGTTCTTTTTCAAGAGAGGGGATATAGGTGAGGAGCTTGCTGAGGCTTCTAAGTTGCGGTTACAAAAATGAATTATTTTTTCTAAGAGCCTAAGGAGATTAGGTACCTGGGCCCAATTTAAATCCTATTTTTTTCAGGTGTGAGGACCAGCTCCTGTCCTTGCCAGCCTCTGCATCTTTGGTATTTTGCTCCCCTTTGATCTCTTGTGCTTGCGGAGGCCATCGCTTAGT